CCTCCACCTGCAGCTCCGGGATTTCCGATGCTGTGAGGATGCGAGGCTTTGGAACATCGATTTCTATGTCGATCCCACAAACCCATCCCTGATGATTGATGGCAGCGGACGTGAAATCAGGTACCTGGGTAGGCTGGTGATTATGGTGTATGGCCCTGATGTGTCGAGAAGGATGCTGGCCTTGTCGGAAGATGATGAGGAATGGATGCTCCTTTGAGGTGATGAAACGTCGCCGGCCAGTAACCAGGCAAGTGGAAGTGGATTGAATTGCGAGCACAGCCTCGCCATTAAGGGCCATGTGAGGGCAAACCCGAATGCAGGCTTAGCTTGCCGGAATGAGGGTGATCAACATACCCTCGCAGCACAATGCTTTCAGAACCCGTGAAACCAGCGGAGATGCCATGTGAGGCTATGCAAGGGCAGTTTCGGCCTCGCTATGCTGGAGTAAAGGTTCGGCCTCGCCTCGGCTGAGGGAATGGATGGTTCGGCCTCGCCAAGGCTGAGGGAACAACAGAAGGGTTGCGAAAACGCCTCGCTGATGAAGAAGGTGCATGATGTTCCGGCCTCGCATCAGCTGAGGGAAGAATGATGGAATGGGCAGGCCGGGCACTTATTGGTCTGCCGGAATTGAGTCTGGGAGACTCTGGAAGCACTGCATGCAGCTTGGACGGCTGATGCTACTGGGCGCAAAGCGGTAAAGCAGCTTGAAGCATAGACTCCGCGGTGCCGGTGTGTCGGAGCAATTGATAGGTACAACCGCAGCCCAGCAGTGCTCAATCAAACAATGCAACATTCGGCCTCGACTTTGGTCTGAGGGAATGTGAGCTATAAAGAGCAAACTCCAGAATATGGATGAGGGACACTGGCCAGGCATGGAGGCCAGCAAAGGGCAGGTACCAGCATTGCACTGGAGAAGCCTCGAGTCCCAATGGCAGTGAACTTTGTGGTGAGGAATACGTCGACTGGTAAGTAAGTGCGAGAAAGCCAGGGCGATTCTGGGGAGAACAGCAAGGCACGGTTAGTAAGTGCGAGAACACCGGAGCTGCTGAGAACCCTGGATTAGCCGGGACGTACTCCGTGGAGGATTCGTTGTCACTGCTTTCAGAAATGCCCACAAGGACCAAGCATGCAGCTAACCCGTGGTCGCAGAGTGGGCCTCACTTCGGTTGAGGGTAATCGACTCCCAAGTGAGAGTATGGAGTTTTGGTGGCAAACAAGAGAGCCAGCCGACTGTCTTTGGAACAATGGCTACGGCTGGATTGGAGAATGTCAAGTCTCACAATGGATAGCGGCCTCGTACATAATATCCTCACAGGCAGGGTGGGTTTGACCTGGTAGTCGGCACCTTGCCCGGCCCCCTGTCAGGCGCCTGTACCGGCCACCTGTTGAAGGTGTGTGGCGTGGGGTCACCGGTGCGTAGCGGCGATTTCGGTCGCTTAGCGTCCTCCAGCCTAAAAAGGGGTATGTTTGGGCAGGTACTTCACCTGTTCCTCCTGCTTGGCTCGTGTTGGAGATGTGTGAATCGAGGGCATGGATCCGTCAAGGTGAGATGACGAGAAAGTGCAGAATTGGGCCTCAATCAATATGGAACGGTCTATGGGGATTGACCACCCCGCTGGTAGAGGGATAGCGGCCTCTGAGAATCGGAGGGCATGGATCACCTCCCGGCAAAAGCCACAGGAAGTATGCCCTGTGCATGCAAGAGGCAGCCACCGTAACCAGAGTCCATGAAGCCTTGGGCCATGACCTGGTTTGAAGACATGTCCGGCCTCACTACGGTTGAGGGGTGTGGATGGAAGCACTCAGGACATGCAATGAGACTCGTAGAACGAGCATCTGGGTCTACAGGAATGACCTCCATTCGGTTGAGGGATAGCGGCCTCCACGAACGAGGGCATGGATCACCTCCCGAATAGACAACACAGAGAATGTGCAAGCATACAGGCAATTTGCCTTGGCCAAAGTCTTCGAGCCACTGGCAACGACTTGGTCAGAACGACATTCCGGCCTCACTTCGGTTGAGGGTAGCGGTACGTCAAAACCGAGGACAAGGAATGAGAGGGGGAACTTACCGGCAGTTTCACCCCGCAGTTTTAGTAAGCTTTTGTTTCACTTGAACCCACAGCCCCCTCGGGTGGCTACGCCTCGCAGCGTGCAGACGAAAGTCCTGGTACTTTGGCTCAAGCTTTCGGCTCAACCCCGGTGGGGTGCCTTTGGTAGGGAGTTGGTAGCTGTCAACGAGCCTCGGGGCCCAAATCTGCGTGGGGGAACAGGCCCTTGGTCCAATCCCAGCTTGACCAACTTGTGCCATGGCTGAGCTAGGGTGTTCGCCTCCCTTTTGTCTCCACAGTCAGGAACCGCTGCTCACCGTCGGGGGTTCGCCTCCGTTGCAAGGGTGCATTGCATCCTAGGCCAGTCCCAGCCGGCGGGACGCAAGTTCCGGAGCGGGTGGCAATCTCTCGGGGGGGCTCACCTCCAGGAAAGCTTGAGTTTGAATAAGCACCAGCGCTTGGTGCCCCTAAACTAACTGCTTTTTCCCCAAAGTTTTGCTTTGTTTTCCTTTGCCACTTTGCACTGCTTGCAGTCATGCATGCCGCTGCATTCCTGAGATCATGCCGCCCGCTGGCAGGAGAGCAGATGGGGGCAAGGTCTTCGCCAATGGTCACTTTTGGTTGTCTCTTGGGTTTAGGATTGCATGCATGCTTGGCGCTGGCAAGTTTGGTGGCAAGCGTGGGGACCATCCTGTGTGGTTGAGGCTCCTTAGGGGGGTCCCTTGGCTTCTTTGGGAGGGTTTAGGGTGTTGTTGAGGTTACCTATGTGTGGGCCACAAGTGTGCTGGCACCTCTGGCTATACCAGTACCATAATTACTGAAATTTTGTGCATCAACTCAGGCGCTATGCACTCTGGACATGCAGGAAGCACTCATCTCTCCAGCCTCTGGGAGGATCTTCCTCAGCGCCCAGGTCCTCCACTAAAGGGCCATGCAGTTACGTCCTTGAGTTGGGGGGCCAGCCCTGCCACCTGTGCAGGGTTTTGGAACAAGTGCAGGAGTTGCTACGGGCTCTTGCCTCCCTATCGCTTGGCGTTGGCAGAACCAAGTGTGGGATCCTCCTCTTACTTGTTGTTTTTATAGTTTCGGGCATGCAGGTACCCAGGAGTGTCCAGACCGTGAGTCCTGCCTGTGCTGCAAGCCAAGCCAACAGTGGGTGTGTTTCATGGCTGGTGCGGCGTGGTTCCCGCGCTTGTTGAGGGGAGCGTCGACACCTGCGCGTGTGGAGGGGTGCGTTTGCCCTCGCGCTTAGTTTGAGGGCTTAGCACCGGCCTTGACGTGCAGTCACCTAGGTTTGGATCTTGCAGTTGCCCAGGGTGGTTGGTTGGGTTTAAGGTCACCTTTGAGAGCGTATACCGGCCCACTTCGCCGGGGGCCTTTCCCAGCCACAGTGCAAAGGCAGTGCGCGCTTCTCTGTCTTCGCGCAGACCCAGTCATTACAGTCCAGGCACCATTTTCTGTCCTTTTACTGCCAAACAAGTCGTTCCTGCTATTTTGGGGTTTAGGATGACACGCTGAGCCCCAAATAGCAACATGATGTTGCTGGTATAGGAATTCGCCAAGATTTTTGGCCAAATTTCCTTTTCTGCACAAAATCATTGAAGTTGGCCCGCCAGCATCAAAGATCTTCGACATCGAGTCGAGCGTGCATTGCAGGGCCAAATAGCAACATTACGTTGCTGGTATAGGAAATCGCCAAGGCTTTTTTGGTCAAATTTCCTTTTCTGCACAAAATCATTGAATTTGGCCCGCCCGCACCAAAGATCTTCACCATCGAGTCGAACGTACATTGCAGGGCCTGGACGCTGGCTTTTCCTCCCCGGCTGGAGGTAAGTTTGGCCAACATGTGGCCTTGATGGCGCCCGTGGCATGCACGCGAGGGCAGTACTTCCACTCCTTTCCCCGTCTTTGGGGTGGTTTTCCCTCCCCGTTTGGAGGTAATTTTGGCAGACAGGGGGCCTTTATGGCCACTCTGCTGCCTGTGTTCAAGAATGCAAGGGCAGTGCGCCACTCCACTGCCCGTCAATGGGGTGGATTTTGGTTGGTAGAGGTAGCCGAGTGCCCAGAGCTGCTGCGGCATGGGTGCTCTGGCCCCTGTTAGTAAGAGCGAGAACGCAGGGGCCACCTCGTTGCAGCAGGGTTTTGGGGCGTCGTTCCCAGCGCCTCCATAGTCGATGGGAAAGCGTCGCTCCCTGCGCCTAAAATTGGGGGGAGTGCGTGGTCCCCGCGCTTAACTACAAATTGAGGGGACAAAACCCTGCTGCGCCAGTTAACGTCCAGCCCAGAGAAGGTGAGCTGAAGGCCCCCCGCCCCCAGGCCTTGGGGGTTCTCCTCCCTGCCAAGTGCATTGGGGCGGGGCAGCAACACAGGAGGCCTAGCCCTGTATAGCGCAGTTCCAAGTTGAAGAAGACGCTGGGGGTTGACCATTCAGAGTCCCTCCATTTGATGGCATAGGTCCTGTAGCCTGTAGTGACCAAGGCTTTCTTTTCTCACCTCATTTTTCCTGTGGGATTTTGGGCTCAGCACCGGCCTGGAAAGCGCCCGGGTAAGCAGTGCCGTAGGCAAGCACGCCTAGTCACAACGACTGTGGGTGTGTAGGCTGTAGGTGTCAAAACCCTTTTCCCCCAGGCCTGGCTCAAGGTAGCCGCCCGGGTTTCTTAGGATTGCCGTTTCGGCGGCCGCGCTTCGCGCTTCGAGAAGAAAGTCCTGGTACTGGCTCAAGTTTCGGCTCAGACCCCGGTGGGGTGTTGTGGTAGGAAAGCGGCTGTGAAACAAGCCCTGAGGCCCAAACCTTGTGTGGGGGAACAGGCTCCATCTTGAATCCCAGTCTCTTTGTAGTGCCATAGCATACCTTACCCACCGGAAAGGGGTTCGCTCCTCACGGGGGTTGACCAACACACCCTCCCACCGTCATCGGGGGAGAAAGGGTGGTCAACACGGCCTCCCGCAATGGGTCGGGAATACACTGTTTGCAAGGGCTGCGGAAATTGGATCTACACAGATCTAATCACGCAGGACCTCAAATGCAAGAAGTGTGCAAAGACCTGGCCCACCAAGGGGAGGCGTCCTACAGTGTGGGAAGCGGCCACCTGGAGGAACCCCAAAACCCCTAAGCCCAAAGCCCAGAATGGGGAGGCAATGGGGGGCACGCCCAACCCGCCGTCGCCCAAGCCGCCTCGAACCCCTAAGGTCTACAAGGCCTTGGAAGGGGTATGGGAACAAATTCCCGAAGCTGCCCGTGTTGAACTCTCCAAGGCCGGTTTCAGGGCTCCGGTGGAGGACAAGTCGTCCGATGAGGTGGCCCTTCTGGACCTATTGCAGGCCCATATTGGGGATCTGCCAGCGGACGTCCAGACAGCGCTGCACAACAGGAACAAGGTTCCTGATGTTCCGCCAGAAGAGGCCGCCATAACAGCCACGAACGAGCTAAAAGGGGCATCCACCAAGTTGCGGTCCCTAGGCCACCGCAAAATTCGTCTCCAAGCCAAGATTGACGAATCGAAAGCCGCCCTCAAGGCGTTGTATGTTGAAATGCAAAACTTGATGCAAGAGCTGAAGGCGGCTGAGGAAAATATGGAAACCCTTGCCAAGACCTTCCGGGACAAGGTACTCCAAGCGCCCGTTCAAGAAGAAGATGAGGACTTTAATCTGTCCGAGGTGCTTGGAAGCATTGGCCTTTCCCTTGATGAAGCCCAACTCCAAAAGGTGCGGGATGCCCAGGCCCAGCACAAGCTCCAGCGAAGGCAGAAGGCTGCGGAGCAGTTGCTGGCCCATGCCGGTTTCCCGCCGGGACTTGGGGGGAATCCTCCAGGTATAGGGGGTCAGGCCATTGCAGCCCAGTTGGAGGCTATTGGGGTGACCCTGACCCCAGACCAAAAGAACATGGTAATCACTGGGCAGTGGCCCGGCCCCTCACAGACAATCGATCTCAAGGCGGCAATTGAGCAAGGATGCCCCAACATGGAAATCGAAGACCTTGAGCTAAGAAGAGAAGAACTTGAAGTGCAGCTGGAGCGCAAACGACGCAAGCTGGCTACCCAAAGCGCCTCCCCACCCACCTCCGTCAAAGAAGGAGGCAAGGAAAAAGGGGAGCGCAGCCGCTCGCCCAAAACCAGGAGTTAGGAACCCGGCCGGGAGGGCGCCACGTGGGGTTTAATAGTGGGCTATTGGCCTCACCAGGAGCCCGACCTGGGGCCAGGAGGTTCGGAAGCCGAACAAGGTTTTGTCACTGTGTATAAAAAGAAGTGGAAGGCTAAGGGCCAGCTTTCTCGGTCCAAAGACGTTGAGAAGGCTAGCACCCGTGTGCCCTCCGCCAGCCTTTCAGGCACTCCCGAGTCCCAGGCTGTTTTGACCACACCATCCAAGCCAGGGACGGAGGACGATTTTGACCCTTCCCCCTTTTCTAGGGGGGTTTTTACAAATACTATCTCACCTGAGTGGAGGGAGTTCGGTGCTTCCCCAATCAATCTCTACAACCGGTTTTCAGCCCTGGCGGAAGACGAAAATCCCCACGATGAATTCACCTCCCTCCTCCTCAAGGCCAAAGAACAGTCACTTGCTGCATGTGAGGAGGAATTGGTGGAACTGGTGGACAGAATGCCCATCCGCCAAGGGTCTCTTGAAGAATGGGCGGCCAACCATGCATTGCATCAACTTGCCACTCACAGAAACGAACCCAGTGTTTGTTTGGAGGCAATTGCAGATGCAAAAAGGCAGCCCAAAGACGAACCAGCAAAATTTGAAATCACAGTTGCCAACGTCACAAGATGGAGAGCTGAGATCAAAACGTGGCTCCTAGATAGGCGACCACAGGGGGTGTGTCTCCAGGAAACCCACCTCACAGCCAAAGAACAGCATCTTGCCATCCATCAGTTGGACCAGGCCGGGTACGTTGCCTGGACCCTACCGGCCCACCCAACTGAGGGGGGCAAAAACTCTGGAGGCGTCATGATCGCGGTTGAAAAAGATCGAAATTTCCGATTCCTGAGATCCTTTGGTGTCGAAGGTAAAGGGTATGTGGCAGTGGTAGGTAGAACAGGGAAGAGGGACATTGTTTTCATTTCCGTCTACCTTGAAACCAGTGTAGGCCTCACTGGAGGACACAACCCCACCATTGTCGGTGATCTTCTTGCCTTCATTAAAGGCCTTACCATTGAATGGTTTGTGGCTGGGGATTTCAACATCCCACCACAAGACATACTCGAAACCTCGATTGAGTCCCTCTTGCGCGGGAAAGTGCTAGCTACCAACGAGCCCACCATTATGGGTGGCAATGAAATCGACTTTGCCATTGCTAGCCACACCGTCTCAAATGGGCTCGAAATCAAAGCTGATTGGGACGTTCCCTTCAGGCCCCATTGCGCCATTCGGTACACACTCAATGTAGGGGTTTTCCGGGTCTGTACCCTACAAGCCAGGCCCTTCCGAAGACCTGTTGACGATGAACAGGCACCATTCCAAGGACATTTTACCTTGGTTTATCCCAGCCTCCTCCTAGAGCCGAGGGCGGATGACGCCATTACAGCTGGGTTTGCCGGTTTCACTCAGCGTGTTGAGGCGAGCCTCTATCCCTCAGACATCAGAGGCAGGGGTTGCCAGGTTGAAACCCATATTGGACCACTAGCCCCGCCCAAACCTACAGGTTTCGTCTGGGCTGGTGGGAAGTCCAAATTCTGGGGTAGACTTGCGGTCTGGCACCGGCAAGGCCTCCGCATTGGTCTGAGTCCCAAGCTTCAGCAGGTGGTCCAATCCCACCTCTCCCAACTCCTTCTCAATTGGGAGGAATGCGACGCATTCAGGTGCCAGACAGCGGTTAACCTCGTCCAAGAGCACTTTGGAAAAGAAGGGACCAAAGCCAAAGAGGTCAAACAAATTATCGAAACACAACGAAAACTTCACCTCAGGAAAGCACATCAGGAACAAGCCAAAAAGTACGAAGCCTGGCTCCAAGGTGATGGGAAAAACCATCTGCGCCACCTTTACCGGGCACTCAAGACTGAGGAAAACATCACTACTCGCCCATTTGCGGACCTTGTGGTGGAGGTTAAGCCTCACGCCAGAAGGGCATGGTGGGCTGACATGTGGGCCCCAAGTGGGTTGAGCGGCACTCATGGCACCGACCCTCGCTTGGCCCTGCAGAACAAAGCGAGGCAACAAGCAGCCAACCTCCCGCCCATTTCGGCGGAGGAATGGAATTCCCTCCTAAAAAAGGTCCCAAACAAAGCCCCAGGCCCAGATGGGTGGTGCTATGAAATGCTCCGAGCATTACCTCATGAAGCCATTCTTGAATTGGCTAACATGGTTCGACAATGGGAAGTTGAAGCCCAGTTTCCGCAGCACTGTGATATCACACAGTATGCCATGCTCCCCAAAAATGAAACATCCGAAAGGCCTATTGGGTTAACCCATGTCCTCCACAGGATATTTTGCAAGGCGAGATGGCATCTTATCACAGAGTGGGAGAACAATTACAACCCTACCTCTCCCTGGAATCAGGCTAAGGCAGGGAACAGCTCCCTTGACACGGCCCTCCGCCGCCTAATCAGGGCTGAAACTAACAAAAGAGAGAAGCGTCACACCATTACACTTCTCCTTGATCTAACATCCTTCTATGAGACTGTCCCACATTGGCAGCTCCTAGCCCAGGGTGTCAGACACTCCTTTCCCCCGCTTCTACTTGAAAGAGCGTTAAGCCTTTACTCAGGCAGCCGATACATAGAAGCGCAGGGGAGTCTGTCTCGCCCCATCCGAGCTACCAGAGGTCTCATAGCAGGTTGCCCTCTCGCCCCTGCTCTTTCCAGAGTTGTGCTCCACGATCCGATCTCGAAGATGCACTCTGCCTCCCCTGTACACCACATCGATTTGTGGGTGGACGACTGCTCAGCAGATTTTGTCGATTCTCATGCGCCAACAGTCGCTACTCAGGCCATCAAGTGCTACAGGGAGCTTAAAGCTGACCTCGAGAACCAGGGCCTGATGGTCAGCACCACCAAAACGGCTTTCATCTGCTCAAACAAGGCCTCTGCCAGAGAGCTGCAATCCTTGCTCGGAGAACATGAACCCCCCATCAAAACCTTAGGCAAGGACCTTGGTTTGGATTATGCTGCGGGACAGAGGAGGCGAATCACAGTGGCCAAAGGCAGGCACGCTAAAGGAGGGCAGCGAGCCAGGAAATTGACCAAGCTGCAAGTCAAAAGCACTAGCATCCGGGTTAGACTCTTCAACGGTTCCATCCGGTCCTCCGCCTTGTATGGGCATGAAGGGGTTGGGGTAGCGCCTAAACGGCGCAAATGGTTCAGAAGTTTGCTTGCTGCGGCCTTGGGCCGACCCACGCTTGCCAGCACTGACTCAGCCCTTGAGTTCCACTCGAACAAGGTTGTAGACCCAGCCTACACCATCATGTCACAGCATTTCAAGGCGGTACGGCGGCTTCTTCTCAGCTGGCCCGACAGGGACATTGGCAGATTGCACCAGAGCTGGGACAAACTCGGGCAATGGCTGAGCGAAGCTGAACATCCCTGGAAAAGGGCGGCTGGACCGCTTGGAGCCGCCTGGTGCTACCTTCAAGAGTTGGGGTGGGAGGCTATCAGCCTCAGTAAGTGGCGCGTTGAAGGCGACATTCTTGACATCCGTCAGGGCCCTGACTTCCATAGACTTCTTTTCCAGCTAAAACATCTAATTGACACCAGGCGACACCGCCGCATTGCTCAATCAGATGGTGGCAAAGGATTAGAGACAGGACCGGACTGGACAACCCCCAGAAGGCTCCTCAAACAAGCCAACAAGCAGGAAAAGGCGGCGCTCCAAGCGTTGTGGCAAGGCGCCGTCAAGGCGTCTCCAACAGCCACGTGTTCCCTATGCAACCTACCTGCCACCAAGAAGCATGTACTCTGGGAATGCAAATGGTGGAAAAAGCATGGTGAACAACCGCCTAGATGGTGGGAGGATTACCCGGAGCATCAATCCACCGATTGTCTGTGGAATTTTGGGCTCATGCCCAACCTTCCCAGGGAAATGCCCTCCGGAGATTCCATTCTGGAAGTCCAGGGAGTCCTCCGCAATCCAGACCAAATCCCTAAAGGCGCTTTCGCGGCCACTGACGCCAGTGGTGGCCCCACCACTGACCATCGGCTTCAAACCGTGGTGTGGGGGTTGATAGTCTATGAATGGTGTGGGGACACGCCCAAGCAAATTGGGTCCATTGCTGGTCTCCTTGGTAATGAGCAGTCAGTGTACCGAGGGGAGGCTAAGGCCATCCAACAAGCGGCCCTTCTCCTTCCAGAAGGGACCGACGTCACCAGTGATTGCAAAGGGGCCGTTGCGCCGGGGGGAGGAGCACACCAAGACATTTTTGGTACTGCGCCCACCCATGAGCTTCGCCTTACATGGGTCCCATCCCATTTGGGATGTGAGGAATTTAAGGCAAAAATGGGGGAAGGCCAAGAATGGCGGCGCAACATCAATGCTGAGGTTGATGCATTGGTGTCCAGACATGCCAAAGCCCTCTACAGCACTGAGCGTGCAGAAAGGCTGCATAAACATGACAAACTGGCTACCGATGTGGCCGGCTTTTTAGGACGCCGGCTCCTCTCCTTGCTTGAGGGAGGAAAAAAGGATGGCCCGCAAGTTGTTTTCCCTAAAGATCAACCCCAGGAAGAACCGGCCAACCCTCCCTCTAGTAGCTCCTCCTCAAACCAATCCACCTTCTCCAAAAATCGGTGGAAGAAACGCCGGAAAATTCCGCGGGGCAACCAAGCCTCCACAGGCCCGGATCCCCCCGCCGTGAATCCGGCGGATGGCGTTCCAGGGGGTGACGCTACCACAGCACGACCTGAAGAAACAGGGAGCCTTAACAAAAAACAAATTTTGGCAGGCTTGGTGCAAGGCACCCTGGACGTTAAAGGTCACACCTTTGTTATCACCCGGAACACCGTTAACAATTTACAAATCAAATGTAAAAATTGCGGTTTGTGGATTCAACAAGTTGACACCAAAGACACATTCAACCGAAAGACCCACAACCACTGCAAGGGTCATCCGGACAGCGTTCCCTCCCCGACATGGACGTGGCACGCATCCCACGTTATGGTGAATGAAGGGACCGATGGGTGTGCACAAAATGCAGTAGCACTCAAAGTGTTGGGGGGTTAACCCATGGCCCCCTTGAAAGACCCTGCCTACACGCCCCGAATAAGAGGCCCCCAACGCATGCCCTTAAACTCAATAGAGCAGCCCAGGGTACGCCGTCAGTCGCCACCTTCTTTGGGGGCCCAAGAAAAGGATAGTAATTTCCAGGACTGAACAATGTGAAATCTGCATGTTGTTGTGTCTTGCGTTAAATTACCCTTTCAGTACCTTTGCACATGCCTGATTTCCACTTGCCCAGCCCTCACCTCTCGTACTGAGTAAGATCCCCACACTGCAGCCGCTGGTCTCAAACACAGGTAGCAGCCTTAGGGCAGTTTAGCTACCTTAGAACCTGTAGATATGGGATGGGGCCAGGGCAAAGGAAAGGGGGCGCAGCCTCCTCAAGGCAAAGGCAAAGGTAAAGGGGGGGGGAGCCAACCTCCCGGAGCAGGCAAAGGGGGCCATCCTCCTGGAGGTAAAGGCGAGATCCCCTTCAAGCGGCCTTCCAAGAAGGACAGAGATCGCCTTGTGCAGCTGGGTTTGTGGCCACCTCCCAAGGGGCAAGGCAAGAACGCCCGAACAGGCCCACACCCGGCAGAGGAAAGGGGTCACGCCAGACCACCCACACCTCCCCCCGTCAGACGGCGAGCTCCAGCAGAAAGAAGTCCTTCAACGAGCCGCAGCCGCGCGCCGCGCCAAGAGGGGACTGATGCAGAAGCACCAGCTGCGGAGTCCCCCTCGCAGTCTTCGCACTCGACGGAGCTTCGACGAGCCTCACCCGACCAACCGCGGCACCAACCTGAGCCGAGCCCAACCCCACCTGCCGAGGGGGGAGAGGCAGACACCGACCCAATGCCAGTCAAACAGGAGTCAACCGAGGAGTTTAGCTCCGGAGAGTCGTCTGGAGAGGCGGCACCTCTTCCACCTTGGCCTCTCCTGGCAGATAGCCTCCACCTCACGGTTGACCGGGTTCGCCGTAGCAACAACCGTGACTTCTGGCTGTCTAACCTCGGCCCAACCTTGTGGTTGGATTGCTTCCCAACCTTCAAGGGTTCCAACCTCCTGGGCATAGGGGGAACGCGAGCAGTGTACACCTCACCCACCTCAGACGGCAAGGTGTGGAAGATTGCTCTCAAAGCAGAGCCCAGCCGCCATGGGATTGAGCAAACAATTGGGCAACGGCTCCCAGGTTTATGTGCCACTCAAACCAGGATGGTGGGGACGGGGCAGCTCACCATCCGCGACTTTAAGACCCTGGAGATTGAGGTCTTGGAGGTTGAGCGTCTCACGCTGTTGCCTGACCAGCCTTCCAACCTCCAGGTCTTGCACATGTTCATGGTCCTCACAGCCCTTGTGGGTGCCGGCATTTGGGTCAGGGACCTGAACAAAAAGAATTGGGGGGTGCGTCCCCCCAATCCACACGGGCCCGATCAAGGGCCCGCGGAAATCGTGGCCCTAGATTGTGGGGGTTGGGCATTCCAAGATGCCCCGCTTGGTTTTCCCCAACGCGTGCGCATTGCCTCATGGTGGGGATGGATCGAAGCCACCACCCCCGAGGTAGCGGCGTGGGCCAGAGGCGTCGTCCGCACGGACCATGCTAGCCCGCGGCGACTCGCCATCGCCTTCAGGCAGCGCCTCCTTGCCACAGATGGGGGGAAGGAGGTTCTTGGGACTTTGGTCCGTCAAGGGGTCATCATCCCTAGTCCCTCGCTGAACCTGTGCCTCCCGATGACGGTCAATGGAGTCAACAGCAGCGGGGACTGGTGCTTCGCCTCAATTGAAGACCTTGAGGCGTAAACCCACCGGGAAGGGGGGCTAGACCCCACCTGTGCACACCACAAGCGGGGGCCTACGCAGCACCCACCGCTACACCTACCCACCCGAAAAGGGGGGAGCAGGGCACCTCTTGCAAAACCTGTACCTGTACAGTCCTGTGTAGTCCAGCTCACCTCCAAAGAGAGGAGTAGGGTAGCGGCAGCTTTCTTTAGGCCCTCGTCCACTCTGCAGTGGTGTTGGCACAACTTCCCGGCAGGGATGCCCCAAGCCAGCCCGGAATGGCCTCTGCCTGTTTTCACTCACCCACCTTGGGGAGTATGGGCCTACACGGCAACCACCACCACACTTACCCACCCTTTAGGGGGGAGAAAGCAGGGCACCTCTTGAAGGGCTCGTAGGGCAACGGCCCAAAGAGGTCTTGAGCAAACCCTCCAAAGTGAGGAGTAAGTGTGGTAGAAGTTTTAGGCTCCTCCACCAAAGGTGGAAAACCCAAGGACGGTTCTAGGAATTGCCGTTTCGGCGGCCGCGCCTCGCGCTCCGAGAAGAAAGTCCTGGTACGGCTTGAGGGATTCCTGGAGGAACAGAAACGGGCTGCAATAGCGCGACAGGCAGGTGGCGCTGGTGCCCAAGAGGGGCTGGATTGGACGCCACATCACAAGCTGACGAAGATGGGAGGCCTAAGCCCAGGCCTTATGGAAGGTATAAAGTCAGTGTGGCACGCGGGCGTCATCACGGAGTCCAAGCCTGGATGGTGCAAGAAGTGCCAAATGCCAGCAACTCTGGAGCATGTCCTCAAAGAATGTCCTTACTGGCGTGAACAAGGGTTTAAAGAACCCAAGCTCCAGGAATACTTGCGCCACAAATACCCATGGGAGTGTCTGTGGACAAGGGCACTCCTGCCAAAGCCGGCGGTGTGGCACCCGAAGCCGCCGGAACACCTTTTAGGTCTGCGCTACCAAGGATGCTTCGCAGCAGATGCAAAAGTGGAAGCGGAAGGCTTGATCTTCGCCACTGACGCAAGTGGAGGTCCAGGAGGAATAGACCCACGTGTACAAACATCAGCCCTCGCAGTGGTGGCTATGTCCTGGACAAAAGGTGTGCTGGTGGAAGTCGGACGGATTACAGAGCTGGTCTACCCGTGGCAGCCGGTGGTGGACATGGAGCGCCGTGCACTTTTCCGACTAATGGAGCACACGGAGGATCTGATTGATGTCACTATGGATTGCAAGCCGGCAGTCCAAGCGCTACAAAAAACACAACCGCCGGAGGATGACCTGGAATGGAGCAAAGTGTGGAATGACAGGAAACGTATCAAGGCAACATGGGTCCCGTCCCACAAAACTGAAGAGGAATTCCTGGCGAAGATGGGGCCGGGCACGTTGTGGCGACGTGCAGCGAATGACATGGCAGACAAAGTATGTGGAGCAGTGGCGGCGGCTGCTTACAGCCCAGCGCACAAGAGGCGTGTCAAAGAGTTGGACAATGTGGTGCGCACACTTTCCCTGGCGTACGGTGCACGCGCAGCCCACATATTGCGGAAGCGCAAAGAAGAAGACTTTCCCTTCATCCTGGACCATGCGCATTACAAAGAGAAGATGGAAGCCTCGCAGAAAGCTGAGGGATGCAAAAAAGAGCATGGCGGAGCCAAACTCAACAAACGCCAGCGGCTTTGGCAGTTGCTAGACAACCCGGAGCGTGGGCATCAATGGGAGAAGGGCAGCGAACACCCCCGGAATTTAACCCTGAAATGCCGACTGTGTGGTTTGTATGTACAACAAACCCTCACGAACTTGGAGGTGGTATTGGAGCAGTACTGCGTCAACCAGCCGGAGGCGCGTGTGCGGGAAGAGTGGGGAATCCACCCCTCCCATAATATGGTGAATTTGGGGATCCGATGGGTTTGCGCAAAGTGTGACAGAACACATGCGCCGGTTAGCCAGAGGTGCAATAAAAGCCTGGCGGGTGAGTGCAAATCGCGGACTTCCCAGGGCAAGCTGGCTACCCAAGCGCAAACCCTTGTCAATGGTGGTAGTATGAGCCACGTCCAGTTTCAACAGCCTCGCGTTCAGTTTGGTGGAAAACACGCCAAAGCTAAGCCCCAAGCCAGTGCACAGCAAAAGATGTCACTGTTTGTTAGGCCTCGCCAAGCTGAGGGAACGCAGTAATTACGCAGCCGTTTGGAGCAAAGAGACAGGGTTTTCGGCCTCGTAGCTGAGGGTGTGGGCCTCGCACGGGGAATAGCGACTGGGTGTTTCCGGCCTCGCTTTGCTGAGGGATACTTTCGGCCTCGCGGTGCTGCGTGCATTCGGCATCGCTGAGGGAAACGACAGGTCTGGAACTATGAGGCAATGGAAAACGGACGCGACGATGAGGAGACAAGGGTCCCGATTGCCATCCTGGCTCAGGAATCGGCCGGACAAAGGCAAAGGCAAAGGCAAGCACAAGCAGCAGGATGAGCCCATGCGAGACCGTTCCCCGCTTCGACAGGCCAGACACCCGGAACAGCCTTGGGATAGGGACGAGGCGAGTGCTTCGGAACCTCCTGCGGGTCCGGTACGCCTACGGGAGAGAGGAGAAGAAAGTGCGGCCTCGCACCAAGCTGAGGGTGTTGATGAAGAGGAAGACGAAAGCCAGCCTCGTACAGTCACGCTGGCAGAAGGACCAGGTGCCCACAACATGGCCTCGCGGGAAGCTGAGGGACAGGAGCCAGAGGAAGCAACGGGGCAAGAAAAGCCAGTGCACCTTGTGGTGCACAAACTGCAGAACCAGCAGCGGCCAAGGACAGCGCTCCATTGGATCGGGGAGGTCCAATTGGTACGCAACCCAACGACGGGGCAAAGCTTACAGCCAAGAGTGCTTCCCTTTATAGGAGCTGGGCGTACTCGAAGAGGATATGCTCTGGATCGGCTGTGGGTCATGAAACTTGCGACGGAACCCCGGAGCTTTGGCAACGAAGCAGGGTACGGGGAACAATTCCCCACCCTGGTGACCAGGACCCTGTGGGCAGGATGGATTAAAGTCCTTTTCGACGAGGCGGTGGAGGGCCACTACCACCACTACTTTTATGGAAGTATCATCCGCAGAGCAGAACTGTTCAACCCATGGTGGCAGGAACATCGTCAAGAAGCCGGGGTCCTCAGACAGTCCCTGTTTTACCTGGTGGCTATAACGTCATGGTTGACCATGCAAGGGGTTGCTCTATCGGATATCACGGTGAGCAACGTTGGGCGCGACCCGATGTCAGGATCGCTACCACGGGCAGTGTTCTTTGACACGGCTGAGTGGTCGACGCTGCAGGAGGAGAAATACAAGCTATCATGCGGCCTCGTACGCATCCTGGAGAAATATGACGAGGAGCTACTGGCAACCATACGTGGATTGGTCAGAACGTACGACGGAAAGGCCAGCGCGCTTTGGATGGCGTGCGTGGGCAATGTCGGGCCTTTTGCCCAGCACCTACTGGATGCCGGGATTGCAAACGAGGATGGGATGGAACCCTACTTGCAGTACCGGCAGGAGAGATCCAGAAAATCACGTTGGGCATGCCGTATGACGAAGCGGATGAGTGAGCAGCGTAGCCCAGACAAGAAACACGGCTAGTGGTCTGAGAAGCACCAACCGACTCAAGAAATACCGCCTCGGCGTGCTGCCTGAGGAAGTTTCGGCCTCGACTCTGGTCTGAGGGGTGCAAATGAAGGAAGTTCGGCCTCGGCAAGACCTGAGGGAATTTCGGCCTCGACCACGGTCTGAGGGCATGGATTTCGGCCTCGACAAATGTCTGAGGGAAGTGAGGGCTAGTACCGGTAGTCTCACTGTGCAGAGTTTGTAGTTTGTATGTTTCACCCTCTAACCTCAGCCCCTTCGGGTGGCTACGCCTCGCAGCGTGCAGACGAAAGTCCTGGTACTGGCTCAAGGTTTCGGCTCAACCCCGGTGGGGTGCTCAGGTAGAGAGCGTCTTTAGTGCCGTTGTGGCTGGCCCTGGGGCTTGTAACTAAGGGTAGGTTCCGTTTTGAGGCCCTGGCAAAACTGTGTTTGCTCGTAGGCCGGCTGACCGGCTAAGCTGTCATAGAGCGGCGGCCTGCCAACTGCTGCCGACGACGAAGGACGTTCGAGTGCACAGTTTTCGGCCTCGCTTCGCTAGAGGGAAGCTTTTCGTCCTCGCGTTGCTGAGGGAACCTTGTGGCCTACAGTCTGCTCTGGGTCACAGTGAGAGTTACAGCCTCGGTTTGCTTGAGGGGTGACGCTAGAGCCTGTTGCTCACCAGAGATTCCTGCTGTCTCTGGGTGAACAAAACCCGCCGACCCTCATTTGGATTGAGGGCTTGTGTTAGGGTGAGTTTGGGTTCCTCGCTCGCTTGTGTGGAAAACGAAGGTGAGTCCGAAACACGGGGGAAAACGGCCAGGCACGCTGCAGACAGTGCAGGCCAACGTCGCACTGCAAGCGGCATCCTTGCAGTTGTTGACAGGAGTGTCCCGAACAATAGCGGTGTGCTTGAGCCCGAGTTTGCTGGTTTTCGGGGATCTGCAAGCTGAGCACAACAGGTTATTCTTCGCAGGTAGCATCAGGTAGAACAGATTTGGCCCAACCCTGGTGGATCTGCCTGGACACAAATAACCAAAGGCATCAGTGTCGTAAAGCTCATTGACTGGTGCTACTGAGAAACCGTTGCCAAAGAACTTGCAGTAGGACTGTGGTGCGGCACAGTGCAAGTTGAAGAGCAGCTGTTGGTGGCTGCTCCCCGGCAGACAAATAGTCCAAGATAGCCTTCTTCGGCCTCGCTCCGTGCTGAGGGTTTGTAAAGGCTGGTATTGGCCGGAAAGGAATCAGATGGAGGCTACCCGAACTTCGCGCTTTTCCCATCTGAAGGCAACCAATGGTTATCAGCCTGCTGGACATGGCAGGCCTACTTTTGTTTACATCCACGTCTCCTGCAAGGGCTGGGGTCTGTCCGTGCACACAGACAAGGCGGAACCTTGCAGATGTTTAGGTCCTCGCGGCACGGCCGCTGGAGGTTGTTTGAAGATGTTGGCTCTCACTGTCTGGTGAGTGGTTTGTATGGGCACTTGCTGGGGCAAGGCGGCTCTGGCGTCTGAGGATGGTACATGTGCTGGCTGCTGAGTACGGGCCACCGAAAGAGACCTGTGGTAAGACAAGCGATGAAAGGAGCCGAACTCCTAAACTCTAGGACAGGCTAGCTCACGCGGACGCCACGCAGAGTATGTGTCACTATCTTCAGATGTTGGAGCCAAATTGCCTCGCCGTGTGACGTGAGATGTGGTGTTTGGTTTCGGCCTCAAGCACTGGAAGGCCTACAACAACAAATCCGAATGAAAACTGTGGTCCTAAGACACGCGGAGCAGCTGCTTATACGTGGCACCGCGGGGGTCACGTAGAGATAGAGGCAAGGGAACTCTGTCTAGAGATAGCCCTGGCTCAGTGAGGAGCTGAGGGCCTGGCTGCGCAGATGCAGCGGAATGGTTGTTCGGCCTCGCCTCCGCTGAGGGAACAACAGTCAATGCTTCTCTGCAGTGTCGGTCCGGGTTAGTAAGAGCGAGAACGCCGGGACCTCGAGCTGCAGTTTTACCATGAAGCAACCGCGTGAGATGCATTATTGGTCAACTGGTGAGTAAGAGCGAGAAAGCCAGGGTGACGCTACTTTGGGGGAGGCTGCAAGGCACGGTTAGTAAGTGCGAGAAAGCCGGAGCTGCGGACGAACCTGGAGTAGCAGTCTTTCATACCTCACGTGTTTCACTTTGCGGCCTCGCATGCGCTGAGGGAATATGCCTCGAACAGAACATCCAGTGCTGAGTGGGGATTGCCAAACTTACGGAGGCTGATGCCACAACAAGTGCCTCAACAGCAATGCATGCGGAGGGCAAAGTTCGGCCTCGCGAGGGCTGAGAGAGGGCCTAGCTGAGAACGCAACACCTCAAGCGAGGTAATTTTTAGTTTAGTTTCACCTTGACCAACGGCCCCTTCGGGTGGCTACGCGACGCAGCGTGCAGACGAAAGTCCTGGTAGTTTTTCCTTTTCACTTAGCCTTGGAGCTGCGACCGTTTTGCCCGCTCGGAAAAGAAAATCCATGGTTAAACCCAAATCAAAATCGAAGCAGTCTGGGCTCAAGCAAGCTAAGATTGCCTTCTAAGTATGCCGCCGAAGCATAAATCCCCTGCCTCTAAGGCCTACTCAAAAGCCCGGCCGGGCAAGCGTGAGAGAGCTCGGCTCAGAGGTGCAGCTCCTAAGATGCGAGCGCCGCCTGCTGGTGTGAACCCCCCGCCTCCTAGGCGGAGAAGGGTGGAACCACAGGAAGAGCAAGCCCCTGAGCCGGCGCCACAAGAGTTGCACCCCCCTGAGCCCTTGGTGGACAACCAGGCTCAGGGGATGAGAAATCCTGGAGTCGTGCTTCGGGAAAATCCTCAGCTTGATCAGCACAATCCTGAGCACCGCCCTGCAGCTTTGGTGGCAAACCAGGCTGAGATAGATGAAGTTCCTGGAATTGTCCTTCGGGAGAATCCCTATGCACCTGAGGCTGGTCCGGTTTTGGGTGACCCAAACCAGGACAGCTGCTCTGAAGAAAGTGAGGAGGAGCCAATGGTGCCTGATCCCGTTGTGCATCCGGAGCCTCCCCCAGCACCGCCAGCTGTGCATATGTTGCCCGCCCCGTTGAACTTTGATGACATGGATCAGGAAGTGGGAGCAGCCTTTGCCATTGCTGAGAGGGCTCGCAATACCAAGCCAGGGTTGGTGGCTTTCAAATCCGATCTGGGCTATGCTGGTGTTTTCCAGGCCCTCCCCAAGGACCAGATCCACGTGTGGTTCAATGACACGGGGGACAACACTGCGGCATATATCCACAATGGAAGAACCAGGTACGGATATGATGTTGGTGGTGGCTATGTCTTGAAGGTTGGGACAAAGCAGGCGTTTGGGGATGAGGTGGCGATTTCGGCTTTGCTTCCTAAGGTTGCAGCCACCATCATTGGGGCTGGTTCCACGACACTGCAGGTGCTGCTCTCTGGGCGACCCTGGGAGTTCAGGTCCCAGTCGATTGTGGAAAAAGTCGAGCTCCTCACGGATTTTGGTTCTCGGAACCAGATCCACCCTCAGTGGTCCTTGTACGCCTTCGCCCTCCTTTTGCAATTGAGCCGACATTTTGCTCTTCGCGATGTGTCAAAATCCAACCTGGGGATAAAACCAGGACTCAGTGCCGCTACACCCATGTTGTGTTTTTTCGACCTCGCGGATTGGCACTTCGAAGGGCTCAATGCTGGAAGTTGGTTTCCCAAGTATAGCTTGCGCAGCTTCATCGAGGCCCTTCGATGTGTCTGTGACGTCACGCCGTTGGAGCCGTATCTCCGCAGGCAGGCGGTGGTCCCTTGCCTCAACGATATCATTGCGGTTCTCCCCGCCGCGCTCAAGGCAAACTTGGAGATCCAATTGGTCCTCATGAACGGCCGAATCTCTGATTGGGCTCACCTTGCTGCATTGACTAACCAATAGGCTTGGGCCTCCCGAGCCTGTGGTGTTGTCAGTCAGGTCTTGGGGTCTCCAGACCATGTCTAGGTTTGGGGCCAGCCTTGTTTGCTGTGTGGGAATTGCAGGTGTTCGGGTCGTGGATCCCGTCTGTCACACCGAGCCCTGTGAAATCCTGTGTGCTCCAGGATGTTCGCCTTCTGCTGAGCCACTGGCAAGTGTTACCCGGCCTAAGCTTGGTGCACCAGGCTGGCAGGGGTGTCGTGAGGGCCAGTGGTGTTACCAGGCCTGAAGGCGTGGTGAGCCAGCCTTGTTGATGAGCCGGCAGTAGTTTGCTCTGTGTACCATAGGGTAGGTGTCCCCCCCCGACTGTTTCACTTGAGCCAATGTTACCAGGGTAGGTGTCCCCCCGACTGTTTCACCTGAGCCAAAGTGACTCCAAAGGCCTACGGCCGCCTCGTGCGCGTGGTGTGAAAATCCATGGTTAGCAGCCCGGAAAAAATTTGGAAAGGCTCGCGGCCGGCCTTTTGGCAGTCCTTCCTCCTTTGGACTTCGAAAGCACTTGGAATTAACCCTGACGTCAGAGTGAAGTCGCTCTTCATTCAGGCGAGGACAAGGATGAATGATCACTGGATTGACATGCCACCACACACCCTCCATGCTTTGCAATGCTTGCTTGATGCAGATGACCTTCAAAGTCGCACGCATGCTCTTGACATCATTGGGCTCCAAGGGCGGGCCGCTTTGAAGGAAGCCGTCAAGCAGAGTGAAGAGGCCTACAGTCAATGGCTGGAAGCGGCGTGTAAAGGGGGTATGAGAGGTTTGTATAGGGCTCTTAAGTCTGAGGATGTGATTCCGGACAGACCGTACAGGCATATCCCCCTTGAAATTCGACCGCACATACGCAGGGCTCATTGGGCTGAAGTATGGCGGCCTCTGCCAGGCAATGGAGACAACCCCTTGGTTGAATGGCACGCGTTACAACATGCAGCAGTTGCCCAAGCCAGGACGCTCCCGCCGATTACATGCTCTATGGTTGAGAAAGCCATTCAGAAAATGCCCCATAAAGCCATTGGTGCTGACGGGTGGAGTGTACAGATGTTGCAGAAGTTGGCCCCAGTGCAACTGGAAAGGTTGGCTGCGTTTTTCAACACTTGGGAACGTCAGGGTTGTTTCCCGGCCCAACTTTCTCTTGTTCTGGTCGCTCTCATCAACAAGTCTGAGGACGAGGAGCGACCGATTGGACTGACTCCTGTGCCTTACCGCTTATGGGCCAAACTCCGCTGGCCGGTTTTCAAAGCATGGCTTGATAATTATGCCGCCACCCAAGACTGGGGCCGCGCTAAGAAGGGCTTATCAAGTCTTGATGTTGCGTTGCGCCGTAAAATGTCGCATGAGATCCTGTACCGGAAAAAGAGACACGGTGTAACGGTGCTCTTGGACCTTAAAGCATTTTATGAAAATGTCTCCCACCACAGTTTTGTGGCCCAGGCCCTTGCCCTTGAGGTACCCCCGCTCATTTTAAATGCTGCAATCTCACTTTACAGTGCGCCGCGGTGGATCAGTGCTGAAAAATGTATCTCTGGGCCTATCAAACCGACGAAGGGTTTGGTAGCTGGTTGCCCCTTTGCCCCGGGACTCAGCAAGATCCCCTTTGACAGCATTTTACGCCCGGCATGGAATACGGGGCTCGCCAAAACCATCGACCTCTATGTTGATGACACTAGCTTTGACACTGAAGCTGCTAGCCCTGAGGTAGCTGCGCGTAGGGCAGCGCAGCTGTACAAAGCTGTGGTGGGGGGCTTAGAGCAAGCTGGACTTCCCATCAGCGTCGGCAAGACGGCCTTTGTGTGTTCTTCAAAGAAGGTCGAGGCTGCCTTAAAAGGGTACCTTCCTGAGTCTGAACAAATCAAGGACGCTGCCAAGGATTTGGGCATTGATTGCACTGCTGGAAGAAGGAGACGTATCCCGGTGCACCGGAAACGGTTTGGTAAGGGGGTGAAGCGTTGCGCTAGGCTCTCGATTCTTCGGGTTAAGTCGACACCAGTCAGGTAATCGTGCTGTAAGTCCATTTTGGCTCAAGAAAGTTTTTCGGCTCAGACGAAGAGAGGCCACAGCCCTCTCAGCCACAACCCTCGTGGAGAGGGTCCGGGAAAATTTTTCTGCCTTCAGCCAAGTGTGCTGGGGGATTAGCATCCTGCGGCCTGGTGGGGGGAGCGGGAGCCTCACAGAAGGTCGATGGCGCTTGGAGCTTACATTTCAAGCTTGGTTCTGAAAGCCGAGTTGCCTTCTTGTTCTTGAGCTTTCTTGGGTTGTTGTAGTCTGAGCCAGGACGCAATTTAAGGTTTCTTTTCTCCAGGTCTTTCTTGGAGACTTTGTGAGTGCGTTGGTTGCTGTGCTTTGCTGTCGCTGGAAGTTTGCTGGAGTGCAGGTAGATTCCTGGAGACGAGCTAGTGTCTTAGGTTTCAGAACTTGCTGCAGCTGGTAGCTGTTCTCGTCGACTGCGAGAGCTGTACATGTCAGGTCAAAATATTTTATCTTGCACGGAACCGAGTTTAGAAGCTTTGGCCTGGGTGTAGAAGCAACCTTGTCCATACGTTTCTCCTGCAGCAGAATTAGGAATCAGCTTGCGCAGTTCACGCCCCGTTCAGGCATCTTGATGTGGGGACCTGGAGTGCCCTCCTCGTTAGCCGATGGCCAAGCAAAAGGTTCAGCAGCGTGTCCGTCCTGCCCTGACAACAGGTCCTAGACGCTAAGGCACGGAAGGGATGAGCAATCAGTGCTTGCATTTGCACTGTCTCTGGAGTCCGCTGCATGGTTTGTGTTTTTGAAGCATGTGAGTTTGTGTTGGACCTTTGCAGATAGAACCACATCGTCAAATGAACACTGCCGCACTTCAGGTGGTGTCCTTCGAAGTGAAAAGTCTTCGGGGAGAATTATAATGCATGGGCAGTTCCAAGAATGCTGCAAGGGCAGCTCAAGAGAGATCAAGCTGCTAAGGCAGTCGTGGTCAAAGATCGGCTGAAGGGTCAGCTCGATGAGATTTGTTGCAAGGGCAACTCAAATAGTTTTGCTGCAAGGGCAGCTGAAGATGGCAAGGGCCAATATTCAAGGCACACAATGAGTGTGCTTCATACATCGCTGCAAGGGCAGCCCATTCTTTCAGGCCGTGACGATAGCCAAATACGGCAAGGGCCGGCAAGAGGTGCAAGGGCACCGATCAGTCGTCTAGTAGAGACGAGAGGTTCTCTCGAGAGCTTGAAAACAGAAAGATTGCAAGCTGCGATCGACTCAGCACTTAATTGCACATTTCAAGGGAAAGTCGTGCTGACATCTGAGTTTATTCTCCCAAACCTGAATCTCTGTCGGCTCAAAAAAAAAAAAAAGGGGAGAGACAAAAAGGGTAGCGAAGGCTCTGAGAGGAAACAAAAGCCAGGGGGCAAAGAAAAGAGGCGTAAGCCCAGATGTTTCCGTGGCCCTTCTTTCCGGGCGGTGAGTCACAAGGCTCTGCCTCCAGGGGCCGCAGGAGGAACAGAAGCAGCAGCGACAGCCGTCGCTCAAGACGCAGAGACAGGCGCCGAAGGGCGTCTAGGTCGCGCAGCCCAAGGGGGCGTCGAGAGAGGTCTCCAGAAAACCCAGCCGAGGACCCCAATTGTTGGGACCCCTAGCATGCCGGCTCCGCAGCCAGGATTTCATTGGTGCAAGTGCCGACTGCGGTCTTCGGCGTGGCGTCTGGGCAACAGACCCAGGCGTCCCTTCCTGCTCAGAAGGGAGCTGAGGCAGCTTCTTCTTGGAAGGACTCCTCCCGGTGGCAAGAACAGTCCACCCCGTGGAAGAGCCAGCAGTCTTCATGGGGCAAAGGTTGGGGGCATTCTAAGAACTACGGCTCCAGCAGCTCGTGGCAGGGCTCTGGAGGGAATCGGCGTGAGAAGTGGGACAAGCCCAAAGGCTGGAACAAATGGCCCAAGCCTGAGCAAAAGCCGGCTAAGGAGCAGTATGGGCGAGGGGCTGCCCCCAAGGAGGAGGAGCCGGAGATTCTCCTCGACCCAGTGGCTGGGATTTTTGGAGCCCGGCAGCAAGGGCCGCTTGAGAGGCCCGACTCTGCATTCAACGTTGCGGAGGCGACGGAGGAGGAAGTTCAAGCGGCGGCCAATCGCAAGGCTGAGCGCGAAGAAGAAGGGTTCCACAGTCAGCTCTGGCAAGGAGCGATCGCTAAGGCCCTCGCAGACCCCTCGCGACCCAAGTGCGCCCGAGAACTGATGCGTGAGGGCATCTTGCGAAGCTGGTGGAACATGTCCTGGAAGGACGCCCGAGGCCTGATTGACGGGACCTTGGTGGACGAGTATCGCGACCGGTTGATGCTGTACATGGCAAAGTACAAGAATCCCACCGAGGTGCCGCAGCCGATTGTCGAGCGCTGTGCATGCTTGTTCGCGTGGTTCAAGCAGAACTCCAGGCCGCTGGACATTGAAGGGGACTTCGATGCGATCATGTTCGCAGTGCCAGGGCAGAAAGTGTTGTGCTTTCGCACAAAGTTGACAGGGCCATCCTTCCTGGAGCCCGCAAACCACCGCTATACGATGACAATGTCCCACAGCTTGCCGTGGACAGCAGCCATGGGTGTGGGCGAGTATGGGGAGATAACCCCGGGAGACTTCCGACTTCCCGTCGTACGGATTCAGCGGCCGCGGGGTCTGCAACGACTCCGGCTTTGAAGGTATCAAAGCCTCAATCTCCAAGGTGGCTGCAAGAGCCAAAGGGAGGGACGTCATCTTCTCGATGGAAGGGCTCCTGCAGGAGAATACGCCCCAGGTGGAGGGGGGCATGCCGGCACTGAATGCTGCTTGCCGAGATGCAGGCAGCGCGCGGTCAGGGGACCACCTGCTTTTGAGTCCCACCTGTGCAGTTTTGAGGGCCGTATCCGTAGCCTGGCCAATCTGAGCCAAGAGCCGAAACACTGAGCCTCGATATAAGCTCGTCGGGAGCCATAAAAGAGTGTCCCGTTCTGACAGGGCGAGTGAACTTTCGCTTTGTCATCATGTTTGCAACAGAAATTTTGTCTTCCTCACATGCTTCCTTTCATGTGGGTATCGGGAGTTTTGGGTCAGTTTTGGTTCAAGCCCCAGATGGCTGGTCACCTAAGAGCATCGGAGGTGCCTTCTGACAGCGAGTCGGAAGGCCAAGAAGTTAACCAGCATCGTGTTGCTCAGGTCCTGATTTCCGCAGGACCACCGAATGTGCAACTCCCCTGGGAACAAGGAATTTTCAGGGACATCTTCGCACCTAGACCAGTGGTGTCACTGGACTGGCCAGAGCCCAAGGTTCTTGTCAATGTGGATGAAGCCGAACTATCGTCTACACCAGGTCCCAGCGTTTTGCAAGACAAAGACAAGACGCCAATCACAGGTGTCTTCAGCTCCTCACCGGGAGCCAATGTTTTCAGCAAAGTGATCAAGTGCAAAAAGAAAGATGAGCCCTTTGAGGAGGCTGTTGCAGGCATGTGGTTGAAAAACATGCAGATGTGGAAACAGCTGTTCGAGGCCTCCCCGTCCACCACTTTTGCCAAAACATTACAGGAATTGGACGAAGAGGAGAAGATGTTGTCCCTTCGTGACATGTTTGGATCGAAATCACCACACACACAATCCAGAAGCGTGCATCAACCTTGTTGAGATTGTTTCGTTGGCTTCAAAAACAGGCCGATGTGCAAGGGACCTCTGTGGAGGAACCCCTTCTCCCATCAGAGGAAGCGGTGTACAAGTTCTGCAGAGAGATATCCCACAGGAAGAAGGGCAAGCTGGCACCTCAGAGCGTGGTACAAGCGTTGAAGTTTGTGAAATTTGTGCTTTCCATTCCAAATGTGGAGAATTCCATCTCCCCCAGGGTCCAAGGCTTGGCCGACCGAGTGGCAGGCGAGCACGAGCCCACACATCAAGCCCGGGACCTAACAGTGCTTGAAGTTAGGTTTCTGGAAGAGTGTGTTTGGAACGCTGAGCTCCACATTGTCGATCGATTTGCAGCAGGGGTTTTCCTGTTTCAGATCTTCAGCAGGAACCGTTGGTCGGACATCAGGCACGTGCGATCCTTGGAGTTCGATTTTCTGGAGATTGGCCCCGAAATCTGTGGTTTTCTGGAAGGCAGGGCCAGGGAGGTGAAACAGTCCAACAAGAAGAAGAAACTCTCGTTGTTCATGCCCTTGGTGGCTCCAGTTCGGGGGGTCCACCCGACGGTGGTTTGGGCCAAAGAATGGCAGAAAGTGGCCGCCGAAGCAGGGATCGTGCTCTCGAAGACCCCTGTAGGCCCTTTACTACCGGCCACCGCCCCAGACGGTGCCTGGCTGCAGAGGTCCATCGACTCCGCCGAGGCCTCCAACTGGCTGACGGGACTGCTAAGGAACCGCGACCCCTCAACAGCGAGGGTTACCACACATTCCTTGAAACACACTGCTCTGGGCTGGTTGAGCAAATACGGCATTGTGGGCGAAACACAGACACTCTTGGCACATCATTCTACTGGAGCGTTGAGTACATTAGCTTACTCAAGGGACGCCCTTAGTGGCCCCCTCCGGCAGCTGGAGGAAATGCTAAAGCAGGTACGGGAGGGCTCGTTTTGCCCGGACGCTACTCGGAGTGGATACTTTGCCCGTGCCCAAGGATCAGAGGCAGGTGCGTCTGTTGACCTCGGGTCCTGGTTGCCGATCAGCAAGGCAGGCAGCTTAGATGGGCTGCCCGCGAACTCCGAAAGCACGCATGAGCCTTTGCCAGCTACAGTGGAAGGCTTTGAGGACGATTTCCTGGGGGTTGGACCGCTTTGCTCCTCGCAAGGGAAGGTTTTTGAGTCACCAAGTGCCATGCCTGTCTTGGAAGCATCTGCGCCGTCGGTAGCAGAAGGAGACGAATCCCCCTCGAAAGAAAGTGAGGAATTAGACAGGTTGGCTACCGTGACTTCTGGGCTTTGCGAGGCGTTGTTCGATAAGGTCGACACACAAGGTGCAGATGATAACGAGGAGGCAGAGATCTCGCCCACCACATCAGCAGACGGGTCCTCCGAGGAAACCTCTGATGGAGCCTCGTCGGAAGAAAAGGAGGAACCAGCTTCGACCCTGAGCCTACCGGAGGGTTGGAGCGCGATCCAGAACAAGAAGTCTACCATGTTACATCTGTACAAAGTAGGTCAGACGACGCTGAAATGTGGCAAGTGGATAAGCGTCAATTTTGTAGAAATGGAGAAGCCCTCAGCGAAGTGGCTACAGTGCAGCCGTTGTTTTCAGGAGTAAAGAGAGGGGTGACACTGTTGTTGGCCGGTTTGTGTGCTTGTGCAACACCAGCCCTTTTGTACCAGCTCTCTCTCTTGCAAGTTGCAGTTTTGGCCCCACTCCCTAAACATGGCAAACGCAGCGGATAGTCAGCCTTTCTTCGAGCAACATGCTCGCAAGATCGGAATGGAGCAGCCACTCTTGGACAAATTCATAGCTGGAGGGGTCAAGACGGTGTCCATGGCGGCCTATGCCGCCACTCAACCGGGTCAACCTCTCACAGATAGGGAGGTCTCCACTCTATGTACGAGTCTGGGGCAGAACAACCCCACTCTTGCACAGATGACAGTTGTCAAGAGGCTCCTGTTTGAGTGCCAGACCATGAGCTTGGCAAACTTGAAGGCAACCGTGGAACAGCAGCCGGACTCAGTGAGAGAGCCCAGCGCCTGGAATTGCAGGCTCAAAGGCTGGGCGGACTCTCGATTGAGCATGACTTAGAGCCCGCCTTTTCAGTATATGATGCTGTGTCGACACAGGTAGAGCAAGGGTCGCTGAAATACCTGCATCCGAGCAAGATCCCCACGCGTCGCCAGGAATTGGCGCAAGGCAAGCCAACCAAGGAACTTGTGCTGGACGCTTCGGGGGATGGCCTCTCGGTTCAAGACAAATCCTCTAAAGTAGAGGCCCAGTTGGGGTCAGACATGGCGACTTACAGGGCGCTGCAAAGACGGGGTCTGGCCTACGACCTCGTTGGCATTTTGAGTTTCAAGGTGCACGAGAAATGGCTTCAGAAGGCCTTTGCTACCTTGCAGACCCCACCGCCCCCAGGCTTCAACCGTCCGACGCTGCAGCAGGTCCTGCGAGCAGATCGGGCCTTGTGGATGGAGCTTGGCAGCAAACAGCCGACCCTGACAAGGGCAGCGGCGAACGCGCCGCTCGCGGACGCCCGGTGCTTAGATCAAGTCTTTCTGGAAGCCACCAACACGGTTGCAGTCATTTCCACTTCATGCCGACACATCGTGTGGAAGGGTTCCCAGATAGAGGAGGCAAAGGCGCTGGCAAGGGCCCCAAGCGCTGGGGCGACGGAAAAGGGTACGGACAATGGAAATATCAGAGGACCGACAAAGGAGACAAGGGCCAGGGAGGCAAATCAGGCCTCAAGGGGGCCCGCCTCCCCACAAAGGGCAAATTTGACAGTGGCAAGGGAGGCTTTCCGAACAAGTCCCTTGTCTTGCAAGGAGGCAAGGGGGAGACCCCCATGCCGGCCGCCTTGCGAGGCGGTGTGCCGAACGACGAGCAAGGAGAGCCTCTTTGTTTTGGCTTCAACCTAGGACAGTGCAAGGACGCCCCCTTGGGGGGCAGATGTGCACGTGGCAGACATGTGTGTTGTCACCCAGGTTGCTTCCGGAAGCATCCCTTCTCTGAGCACAAGCATTCAGGCCAGGTAGCCTGAAAGAACGCCCCGCTGCAAGGGACGTCGAATGACAGCGCTTCTGCGCCGGGCCAGGCGTCTCGAGCTGCTCTGACCGCGCGTCGCGCACAAGCGTGCGCGGTAAGAGAAGAAACAGCCATGGGGGAGGGTGGAGACAGTTCGGCCCGATTTTGTGAACAGAACAATTTTCCCGCTTCTGAGGCGGACAGGCCCGAAGAGAGCTGCAAGGACTCGTACCCTGCTGCTTTTGCGAAAGGGCAAGAGAAGCAGCCCCCGCTCAAGCGGGTGGCTGAGCCAATCCCACAATTTTCCAAGCCTCCAGCCGAGGCTTCTGCATTTTCACTTCAGGCGAGTCATCACGGCGCGCAGAGGTCTGGGAGTTCTCGCAACAAAGCTTGAGACTGCGTATCCACACCAGTTTTGTAAGCACTTTGTTTCCCTGCTGCTGCAGCATCTGACACAGAAGGGTTGTCGGGATGGTCTGAATCTCTTGGAGGCCGATCCCGCAAACTCCTCAGGAGCCAGGGTGGTAACGACACAGGCGAAGACCAAAAAGGCTGCATCGTTTCAGGTTATCCCCGAATTTCGCAGACGAATCAGATGGACAGTACCCGGCCAACTCCGTAGTACTCTCCAGACTACACAGTGGTTGGCACCGGACAGGATCCCGGGCTTCAAGGCGCCAGGAGCCCCGGCGCTGAGAGTGACGCCCCTACTGTCTTCTGCGACGGATGTGCTGGTGGAGGTCCCGTGGAACCCACAGGAATTTGTGGCGAAAGCCCGACTGGCCGGCCACCCCCGACACCTGTGTCTCGGGGTGCCACCTGCCCTGCGGAAGGCAATTTTGGCGTGTTCTAAACAGCCTGCAACCAAGGTGATTGAGACTCGAGCTGTGCAGTCACGGAGATGGCTCCAGCGAGCCCAGGAGCTGCAGTTAGCTGAAGACGACTTCAAAGCCAAGCTGCCCGAGCACATCCGCAGCAGCCTCCGTAACAAGAGAATACTGCTCTTCAAAGAGATGCTGGAAGCGTCCCACTACGCCGACAAGGCAGTGGCGGACGACCTGGCACAGGGTTTTGACCTTGTGGGGCATTTAGACCTTCCGGCAGGCTGGTCCACCGACTTTCGTCCAGCATTCCTCTCCCTGAAGGACCTGTCCCAACTGACGCAGGAGACGAACCACCAGGTCATCAAGGAAGTTGAGGACTCATCTCAGTTCTTGGAAGAACTGTGGCAGAAAAGTCTCGATGAAGTATCAAAAGGCTGGTCGGAAGGACCTTTCCGAGAGCAGGACTTGCCACAAGGAGCTGTAGTCAGCAAACGTTTTGCGATCCAACAAGGGAACAAGGTCAGGCCGATTGACGACCTGTCCCAGAGCCACATCAACGAGGCATTCGGGAGCATGGGGAAGATCGAGTTGCATGACATTGAGACAATTGCAGCGTCGGCCATATTGTTCTTGAGGCACGCAGGACAAGGACTGCTTGGTAAAACCATTGACCTGAAATCAGCATATAGGCAACTACCACTGTCCGAAGAGGCACTCAACATGGCCTACGTGGCTGTCAAGGACCCCAATTCGGGGGAGGTTCGCTTCTTTAGGCTTCTCTGCCTTCCATTCGGCGCTGTGGCGGCGGTCCATGCATTCATTAGGGTCAGCCTGGCTATTTGTCATATAGGAAACACGTTTTGGCACTTGCCTTGGAGCTCTTTTTACGATGACTTCACACTGTTGTCAACACGACAGCTGGCCACTAGCGCAGAGGCCAGTGCATGTTTTCTGCTAGACTTGCTCGGCTTTGAGTTTGACAGAGACGGAGACAAGGCCCAGCCGTTCCAGGAGGTCTTCAGATCTTTGGGGGTCGAATTTGACCTTACAGACAGCAGCAAGCAGATAATTAGGATCCAGAATACAGCAGAGCGGACCAAAAGTCTCATCGAAGACCTGGCAGCCTTTCAGGAGCAAGGAGCCTCAAGCCCTAAGACCTGGAATCGACTGAGGGGAAGGCTGCACTTCGTGGCGGGCCAACTCTCTGGGCGCTTGCCGAAGGGCTTCATGAGAAGAATCTCTGACATCATCAATGCCCCCGCATATGTCAGGAGACAAAACCAAGCCTCCCTTTGCGCAGCACTGCAGGGGCTACGACACTACATAGCCGAGGCGTCGCCGAGGATAGTGCGAGCCCAGACCTCAGAGACGGTGTACGCTTTTACGGACGCCTCGCAAGAAGGACTCCAAGGCCTCGAAATGGGCCTGGGAGCAATCCTGTTCAATCAGGAGGGGCACATCCTGTGCTGGTTTGGCATTGTGTTACCGCATGACCTTGCTGAGAAACTTCTGCAAGGAAAGTCTAAAGTCATCAACGAGCTCGAGAGCATAGCTGTTCTCCTGCTATTCATTCTAGCCCGAGAGTTTCTGCGGGGGAAACATGTGATGTGCTACCTAGACAATGAGGCGGCGCGCATAACGCTCCCTGACCAGCGATTCAGAGGCTTTGACCCTCTTGAGCAATGCTTGTGCATTGTTAGAACAGGAGCTTGAGATGATCCCGTTCTACGCTCGGGTACCCAGCAAATCCAACGTGGCGGACGCCCCGTCTCGCCTTGACTTTACAGGACTGCCACACAATTGCAGGTTCCAAGACCAGGTGCTTCTTGCGGAAATGGCCAAGCTGGTGAACTCGCTCGTCGGGCGCGGGGCCTGAAACCCCATGACCAAGGAAGGGACTTGCATTCTCCCCGACCAAGAGAGGGAGCTTTCGTTTCTCACACACCTGCAGAGGACAGATCTCGGATGGAAGCAGACACAGCAAATCCCCTTCCTTGGAAAAGATGCCAGTGCATAAGCTTCAGTCGTGTTAGCGTGAGGGTGCATGTCATTGCAGTCGGTGCATGTGAATAGCATTGCCGTGCATGGAACACCAATGAATGAGCATAACATCGATGGATCGCGTACTTTCAGCCAGGCGATGTTTTCATACATGTGAAACATTTTTGTTTGGAAAATAAGGTAATCGTGCTGTAAGTACAAACCTTTATTTTCCGGAGAAAAATTTTCGAATTCTACGAATGAGAAAGTTTTTCGGCTCAGACGAAGAGAGGCCACAGCCCTCTCAGCCACAACCCTCGTGGAGAGGGTCCGGGAAAATTTTTCTGCCCGCCCACCCACTCCAATTGTGCCTTACATTGGGCAGTTGAGATGAAACGTGATGCCGGAACAGCGGGTCTTGATGAAGAGACGAACAGAGAATCAAGGATCCAATGGCTGGCAGTGATGGTAACCAATGTGCCGGTTGTGGATGTTGTGCTTTGTAGAGTGGCGACCACAGGAACAGTTGACGACGTCAAGTTTGCGGTTGCTGACGATGTGTGGCATCGCTCGGGGCATGACTTACGTACTTCCAGTTTCCGCTTGGAAATGCAGGGTCGTCATGTGCCTTACAGCACGAACCTCAGCGATCTACCGGTGCACCTCGGAACATGTGTGCACTTCGTTGTTCAACTCAACCATTGACAGGCCGCTCACTTAGGCGGAACCGCTGAGTGCAGCAGAGAACTCTGCTTTTAGCACTTTGTGTAGCGTTTCACGGGGGAGCTTTCGTTTCTCACACACCTGCAGAGGACAGATCTCGGATGGAAGCAGACACAGCAAATCCCCTTCCTTGGAAAAGATGCCAGTGCATAAGCTTCAGTCGTGTTAGCGTGAGGGTGCATGTCATTGCAGTCGGTGCATGTGAATAGCATTGCCGTGCATGGAACACCAATGAATGAGCATAACATCGATGGATCGCGTAATTTCAGCCAGGCGATGTTTTCATACATGTGAAACATTTTTGTTTGGAAAATAAGGGTCCGTGCTTTAAGAGCGGGAGTGCAAACCGTGGGCATGTATGGCCATGAGTCTGTTGGACTTGCTCCTAAAAGGATGCACTGGCTGCGCGCCTCCTTCGCGCATGAATTGGGGCGCATGTCGCTGGGCTCGGTAGATCTGACGATCGACCATGCTGCACCTAAGAGGCCGGACCCGGCTTACACGATTATCTCCCAGCATTTCCAAGCGATCCACCGGTTGCTGTGTTTTATCCCTGACAGGCAAAAACAGCATTTTGATGACATTCTGCCTGACATGTGGATGGAGTACCTGCATACCGAGTATCCCTGGAAGCGCGCTGCTGGTCCAGTAGGGGCCCTGCTGTGTTACCTAGTTGACTTGGGGTGGACCCCGGTCAGTGCATCAGCATGGAAATGCCCGGAAGAAACCTTCCAGATCACCACTAAGGTCGGCATGCATCACCTACTGTGCTCCCTTGCCTTGGAAACGGACAGGTGGAGGCATACTCGCATTGCCCAGCAGGATTCCCTTTCGCCCCTCTTGACTGGAATCGATTGGCACCCGCTCAAAAAGCTTAGATGTAGGCTGCCGCCGCAGCAAAAAACTTCGCTCATGGCGGTGTGGCAGGGTGCAATCCGGGCAGACCCATGTGCTACCTGCCTCAAATGTGGATGCGCAGCATCTTTGAATCATGTGCTATGGGAGTGTTCCTGGTGGCTAACCAACCTCCCAGAGCCCCCTGCTTTTGAAAGATTCAGAAAAGAGTGGCCGATCTCTTCCTTGTGGTCCAGGGGGATGACCCCGGCCACCACCTACCCGGATGATGGCCAATGGGTGCGCACAACTGGGGCGTGGAACGAATCTCATGTCATCAGTGGAGAAGGGGTTTATTTCGCCACCGACGGCTCCCCAGGCCGGTCCAAAGATGTCCGATTCCATCGTTACACGTGGGCTGCAATTGCCTTTAGATTGGACAATGCCGAACCCGCTGTAATTGCAACGGCAGTTGGTACCTTGCAAACCCCGCTTTCGGTGTTCCGGGCGGAGGCTGCTGCTGTTAAATTTGTTGCCGAGCACACTCAAGGAGATGTTGACCTCACAATGGATTGTAAAGGGATTCTCTCTAGGATCCAGGGGAAACCTTCCATCCATTCGGCTGATCTTTTTGAGCCAATCAGGGAGCATTCCCACAGAATCCGCCCCACTTGGATTGCGTCGCACCTTTCGGTTCCCAAACTCATTGCGAGGTTTGGTGCCAACCAACTTTGGCGTAGGCGGGCCAATGAGCTGGTCGACCGCCTGGTGGGTGAAGCGGCTGAACAAAGAAGAGATCCACTCTATGAGTCCAGCATAAAGAAGCTGGATGCTGTGATCACTCAGGTCAACACCTTGTTGGCCAAGCGCTCTGCAGCCCTTCTCTCTTATGATAAGGACCAGGGCCCTCAGGTGCAGTGGCCGGATAAGGAGCAGCGGAAAACTCGGGCGAAGCCTCGTGTTCGTGATTCTGCTGTCATCAAAACGAAAAAATTTTCAAAGGTGAAGGGGCCTAATAAGAGGTTGCAACTTGAAGATTTGATCGCTGGTAAACAACAGCTTGGCCATGCCTGGGTCGAAGGGAGTCGGAAGGCGTCTAACTTGACTGCTAAACGCTCGAAATGTGGACTGTATATCCAGCAGACCGACCCCATTCAAGTCTTCTCCCTCAAGTCCTCACACCCGTGCCTTGGTGTTCAAGCAGACCCCGGTCTTTAGCAGAGTGGACTTTGAACCGTATCTGCCAGCTCCTTGAGCAGTCCAAGGATGACACCCTGGGGGTGATTGAGGCTGTTGACGCTGTGCTGGCTGGCTTCTGTAAAAAGGGGTCAGATAGCAAGGTTCTACTGATTGGTCAGGCCAATATCACCACCTATCGAAGTGAGATTCGAACTTGGTTGGTGGATCGGGATGAGTCCTTTTGGCTTTTGCAGGAGACACATGTCACTGAATCCGACACCAGAGCCCTGGTGAACAAATTCCAGTCTGTTGGAAAGCAAGCTTGGGCGGGCCCTGCTGCTCCGACCCAGGGAGGATCTTCAGGGGGCCTCCTCGCCCTGGTTCCTTCCCATCGTAATGCGGCGACTGGCCCGGCTTTCCTCTTGGATGGCAAAGGGTTTGTGTCTGTTTCGATCAGGTTTAGGGGTTGGGACCTCCTCCTGTTCAACCTTTACCTCCAGTCCGGGGTGGGCCCGACCGGAGGGGTTAACCCAGAGATCCTTGGGCGGTTGGCTGCGCTCCTCAGCCAAACCAGCACACCCTGGCTGGTTCTTGGTGATTGGAACTGCCCTCCTGAAGAACTCCTACGATTTGGATACGCAGCCATGGTTAGAGGCCGGATTGTGGTGCCGACAAGCCCTACAATCAATACGGGGGGAACTTTGGATTATGCCTTAGCGTCGGCCAATCTAGCGCCGGCCATCACACTTACTCCTTGCTGGGACGTTCCGTTTAAGCCCCACGCTGCGGTTACTGTTGAGCTGAGGCTTGAGGTTGTGGATTTGCCCCTCCGGCAGCTGAAGGGATTCCCCCCTTGAGCCAACCGCCTCATGCCCTGATGAGTTGCATCTCCCTGAGGCTCATGTATGTGGTTTGTGGGATACATCCCAACCACTTGACCATGAGTGGGCTTCCTTCAGTGCTGGGGTTGAGGAGCAACTGTTTTCCGCTGCTGCGGGTCGTGGGTGGAAACTGGAAGATGCGTTCCTTCCCCTGGTTAAAACCAGCAGCCCGGAAAAAAATTTGGAAAGGCTCGGGGCCGGCCTTTTGGCAGTCCTTCCTCCTCTGGACTTCGAAAGCACTTGGAACTAACCCTGACGTCAGAGTGATGTCGCTCTTCACTCAGGCGAGGACAAGGATGAATGATCACTGGATTGACATGCCACCACACACCCTCCATGCTTTGCAATGCCTGCTTGATGCAGATGACCTTCAAAGTCACAAGCAAGCTCTTGACATCATTGGGCTCCAAGGGCGGGCCGCTTTGAAGGAAGCCGTCAAGCAGAGTGATGAGGCCTACAGTCAATGGCTGGAAGCGGCGTGTAAAGGGGGTATGAGAGGTTTGTATAGGGCTCTTAAGTCTGAGGATGTGATTCCGGACAGGCCGTACAGGCATATTCCCCTTGAAATTCGACCGCGCATACGCAGGGCTCATTGGGCTGAAGTATGGCGTCCTCTGCCAGGAAATGGAGACAACCCCTTGGTTGATTGGCACACGTTACAACATGCAGCAGTTGCCCAAGCCAGGACGCTCCCGCCGATTACTGGCTCTATGGTTGAGAAAGCCATTCAGAAAATGCCCCATAAAGCCATTGGTGCTGACGGCTGGAGTGTACAGATGTTGCAGAAGTTGGCCCCAGTGCAACTGGAAAGGTTGGCTGCGTTTTTCAACACTTGGGAGTGTCAGGGTTGTTTCCCGGCCCAACTTTCTCTTGTTCTTGTCGCTCTCATCAACAAGTCTGAGGATGAGGAGCGACCGATTGGACTGACTCCTGTGCCGTATCGCTTATGGGCCAAACTCCGCTGGCCGGTCTTCAAAGCATGGCTTGATAAGTATGCCGCCACCCAAGACTGGGACCGCGCTAAGAAGGGTTTATCAAGTCTTGATGTTGCGTTGCGCCGTAAAATGTCTCATGAGATCCTGCACCGGAAAAAGAGACACGGTGTAACGGTGCTCTTGGACCTTAAAGCATTTTATGAAAATGTCTTTCACCATACCTTTGTGGCCCAGGCCCTTGCCCTTGAAGTACCCCCGATCATTTTAAATGCTGCAATCTCACTTTACAGTGCGCCGCGTTGGATCAGTGCTGAAAAATGTATCTCTGGTCCTATCAAACCGACGAAGGGCTTGGTAGCTGGTTGCCCCTTTGCCCCGGGACTCAGCAAGATCCCCTTTGACAGCATTTTACGCCCGGCATGGAATACGGGGCTCGCCAAAACCATTGACCTCTATGTTGATGACACTAGCTTTGACACTGAAGCTGCTAGCCCTGAGTTAGCTGCGCGTAGGGCAGCGCAGCTGTACAAAGCTGTGGTTGGGGGTTTAGAACAAGCTGGACTTCCCATCAGCATCGGCAAGACGGCCTTTGTGTGCTCTTCAAAGAAGGTCGAGGCTGCCTTAAAAGGGTACCTTCCTGAGTCTGAACAAATTAAGGACGCTGCCAAGGATTTGGGCATTGATTGCACTGCTGGTAGAAGGAGACGTATCCCGGTGCACCGGAAAAGGTTTGGTAAGGGGGTTAAGCGTTGCGCTAGGCTCTCGACTCTTCGGGTTAAGTCGTCACCAGTCAGGGTCCGAGCTTTAAGAGCGGGAGTGCAAACCGCGGGCATGTATGGCCATGAGTCTGTTGGACTTGCTCCCAAAAGGATGCACTGGCTGCGCGCATCCTTCGCGCATGAATTGGGGCGCATGTCGCTGGGCTCGGTAGATCTGACGATCGACCATGCTGCACCTAAGAGGCCGGACCCGGCTTACACGATTATTTCCCAGCATTTCAAAGCGATCCACCGGCTGCTGTGTTTTATCCCTGACAGGCAAAAACAGCATTTTGATGACATTCTGCCAGACATGTGGATGGAATACCTGCACGCCGAGTATCCTTGGAAGCGCGCTGCTGGTCCAGTAGGGGCCCTGCTGTGTTACCTGGTTGACTTGGGTTGGACCCCGGTCAGTGCATCAGCATGGAAATGCCTGAAGATACCTGCCAGATCACCACTAAGGTCGGCATGCATCACCTACTGTGCTCCCTTGCCTTGGAAACGGACAGGTGGAGGCACACTCGCATTGCCCAGCAGGATTCCCTCTCGCCCCTCCTGACTGGAATCGATTGGCACCCGCTCAAAAAGCTTAGATGTAGGCTACCGCCGCAGCAAAAAACTTCGCTCATGGCGGTGTGGCAGGGTGCAATCCGGGCAGACCCTTGTGCTACCTGCCTCACATGTGGATGTGCAGCATCCTTGACTCATGTGCTATGGGAGTGTTCCTGGTGGCTTACCAACCTCCCAGAACCTCCTGCTTTTGAAAAATTCAGAAAAGAGTGGCCGATCTCTTCCTTGTGGTCCAGGGGGATGACCCCGGCCACCACCTACCCGGATGATGGCCAATGGGTGCGCACAACTGGTGCGTGGAATGAATCTCAGGTCATCAGTGGAGAAGGGGTCTATTTTGCCACCGACGGCTCCCCAGGCCGGTCCAAAGATGTCCGATTCCATCGTTACACGTGGGCTGCAATTGCCTTTAGACTGGATAATGCCGAACCCGCTGTAATTGCAACGGCAGTTGGTACTTTGCAAACCCCGCTTTCGGTGTTCCGGGCGGAGGCGGCTGCTGTTAAATTTGTTGCCGAGCACACTCAAGGAGATGTTGACCTCACATTGGACTGTAAAGGGATTCTCTCTAGGATCCAGGGGAAACCTTCCATCCACTCGGCTGATCTTTTTGAGCCAATCAGGGAGCACTCCCACAGAATCCGCCCCACTTGGATTGCGTCGCACCTCTCGGTTCCCAAGTTCAGTGCGAGGTTTGGTGCCAACCAACTTTGGCGTAGGCGGGCCAATGAGCTGGTCGACCGCCTGGTGGGTGAAGCGGCTGAACAAAGAAGAGATCCGATCTATGAGTCCAACATAAAGAAGCTGGATGCTGTGATCACTCAGGTCAACACCTTGTTGGCCAAGCGCTCTGCAGCCCTTCTCTCTTATGATAAGGACCAGGGCCCTCAGGTGCAGTGGCCGGACAAGGAGCAGCGGAAAACTCGGGCTAAGCCTCGTGTTCGTGATTCTGCTGTCATCAAAACGAAAAAATTTTCAAAGGTGAAGGGGCCTAATAAGAGGTTGCAAATTGAAGATTTGATCGCTGGTAAACAACAGCTTGGGCATGCCTGGGTCGAAGGGAGTCGGAAGGCGTCTAACCTGACTGCTAAATGCTCGAAGTGTGGGCTGTATATCCAGCAGACTGACTCCATTCAGGTCTTCTCCCTTAAGTCCTCACACCCGTGCCTTGGTGTCCCAGCCGACCCCCCCCCTTGGGGCCCTCACCCTGACCACGTTTGGGTTAATTTGGGGGTGTCGTGGGTTTGTTCCAAGTGTGACAGGATGGTCAAGGTAGGAGTCCGAAAAACTCCCTCTTGGCTCTGCCAACCCTGTAAGCCTAACGTGAGTAAAGTTGCTACGGCTAGTTCCAAAAAGGCGAAGGAGGTGACTGACACTGGTGTTAGGAGTGTTAAGTCCTTTTTCCAACCTACTGCCTGTCAGGAACCACAGGCCCGGAACTTGCTCCCGAAACCGAAACCCAAATCAAAATCGAAGCAGTCTGGGCTCAAGCAAGCTAAGATTGCCTTCTAAGTATGCCGCCGAAGCATAAATCCCCTGCCTCTAAGGCCTACTCAAAAGCCCGGCCGGGCAAGCGTGAGAGAGCTCGGCTTAGAGGTGCAGCTCCTAAGATGCGAGCGCCGCCTGCTGGCGTGAACCCCCCGCCCCCTAGGCGGAGAAGGGTGGAACCACAGGATGAGCAAGCCCCTGAGCCCTTGCCACAACAGTTGCAACCCCCTGAGCCCTTGGTGGACAACCAGGCTCAGGGGGTGAGAAATCCTGGAGTCGTGCTTCGAATCGTGCTTCGGGAAAATCCTCAGCTTGAGCAGCACAATCCTGAGCACCGCCCTGCAGCTTTGGTGGCAAACCAGGCTGAGAGGGATGAAGCTCCTGGAATTGTCCTTCGGGAGAATCCCTATGCACCTGAGGCTGGTCCGGTTTTGGGTGCCCCAAACCAGGACAGCTGCTCTGAGGAAAGTGAGGAGGAGCCAATGGTGCCTGATCCCATTGTGCATCCGGAGCCTCCCCCAGCACCGCCAGCTGCGCATATGCTACCCCCCCCGACGAACTTTGATCATATGGATCAGGAAGCGGGCGCAGCGTTTGCTATTGCTGAGAGGGCTCGCAATACCAAGCCAGGGTTGGTGGCTTTTAAATCCGACCTGGGCTATGCTGGTGTTTTCCAGGCCCTCCCCAAGGACCAGATCCATGTGTGGTTCAATGACACGGGGGACAACACTGCGGCATATATCCACAATGGAAGAACCAGGTTCGGATATGATGTTGGTGGTGGCTATGTCTTGAAGGTTGGGACAAAGCAGGCGTTTGGGAAGGAGGTGGCGTTTTCGGCTTTGCTTCCGAAGGTTGCAGCCACCATCATTGGGGCTGGTTCCACGACACTGCAGGTGCTGCTCTCTGGGCGACCATGGGAGTTCAGGTCCCATTTGGTGGCTTGGTCGATCGTGGAAAAAGTCGAGCTCCTCACGGATTTTGGTTCTCGGAACCAGATCCACCCTCAGTGGTCCTTGTATGCCTTTGCCCTCCTTTTACAATTGAGCCGACATTTTGCTCTTCGTGATGTGTCAAAATCCAACCTGGGGATAAAACAAGGACTCAGTGCCGCTACACCCATGTTGTGTTTTTTCGATCTCGCGGATTGGCACTTCGAAGGATTCAACGCTGGAAGTTGGTTTCCCAAGTATAGCTTGCGCAGCTTCATCGAGGCCCTTCGATGTGTCTGTGACGTCACGCCGTTGGAGCCGTATCTCCGCAGGCAGGCGGTGGTCCCTTGCCTCAACGACATTATTGCAGTTCTCCCCGCCGAGCTCAAGGCAAACTTGGAGATCCAACTGGTCCTCATGGACGGCCGGGTCTCTGATTGGGCTCACCTTGCTGCATTGACTAACCAATAGGCTTGGGCCTCCCAAGCCTGTGGTGTTGTCAGTCAGGTCTTGGGGTCTCCAGACCATGTTTTGTGGGGCCAGCCTTGTTTGCTGAATGGGAATTGCAGGTGTTCGGGTCGTGGAACCCCGACTGCCACACCGAGCCAAGTGACTCTAAGGCAGGCTGCTCCGTGCCTGTGTGTGTGAAATCCTGTGTGCCCCAGGATGGTCGCCTTATGCTGAGCCCACTGGCAAGTGTTACCCCGGCCTAAGCTTGGGTGCACCAGGCTGGAAGGGGTGTCGTGCCAGTGGTGTTACCAGGCCTAAAGGCGTGGTGAGCCAGCCTTGCTGATGAGCCGGCTGTAGTTGCTCTAGTGTACCATAGGGTAGGTGTCCCCCCGACTGTTTCACCTGAGCCAAAGTGACTCCAAAGGCCTACGGCCGCCTCGTGCTTGTGGTGCGAAAATCCATGTTTGGCTCAAGGTTTCGGCTCAACCCCGGTGGGGTGCTCAGGTAGAGAGCGTCTTTAGTGCCGTTGTGGCTGGCCCTGGGGCTTGTAACTAAGGGTAGGTTCCGTTTTGAGGCCCTGGCAAAACTGTGTTTGCTCGTAGGCCGGCTGACCGGCTAAGCTGTCATAGAGCGGCGGCCCGCCAACTGCTGCCGACGACGAAGGACGTTCGAGTGCACAGTTTTCGGCCTCGCTTCGCTAGAGGGAAGCTTTTCGTCCTCGCGTTGCTGAGGGAACCTTGTGGCCTACAGTCTGCTCTGGGTCACAGTGAGAGTTACAGCCTCGGTTTGCTTGAGGGGTGACGCTAGAGCCTGTTGCTCACCAGAGATTCCTGCTGTCTCTGGGTGAACAAAACCCGCCGACCCTCATTTGGATTGAGGGCTTGTGTTAGGGTGAGTTTGGGTTCCTCGCTCGCTTGTGTGGAAAACGAAGGTGAGTCCGAAACACGGGGGAAAACGGCCAGGCACGCTGCAGACAGTGCAGGCCAACGTCGCACTGCAAGCGGCATCCTTGCAGTGTTGACAGGAGTGTCCCGAACAATAGCGGTGTGCTTGAGCCCGAGTTTGCTGGTTTTCGGGGATCTGCAAGCTGAGCGCAACAGGTTATTCTTCGCAGGTAGCATCAGGTAGAACAGATTTGGCCCAACCCTGGTGGATCTGCCTGGACACAAATAACCAAAGGCATCAGTGTCGTAAAGCTCATTGACTGGTGCTACTGAGAAACCGTTGCCAAAGAACTTGCAGTAGGACTGTGGTGCGGCACAGTGCAAGTTGAAGAGCAGCTGTTGGTGGCTGCTCCCCGGCAGACAAATAGTCCAAGATAGCCTTCTTCGGCCTCGCTCCGTGCTGAGGGTTTGTAAAGGCTGGTATTGGCCGGAAAGGACTCAGATGGAGGTTACCCGAACTTCGCGCTTTTCCCATCTGAAGGCAACCAATGGTTATCAGCCTGCTGGACATGGCAGGCCTACTTTTGTTTACATCCACGTCTCCTGCAAGGGCTGGGGTCTGTCCGTGCACACAGACAAGGCGGAACCTTGCAGATGTTTAGGTCCTCGCGGCACGGCCGCTGGAGGGTGTTTGAAGATGTTGGCTCTCACTGTCTGGTGAGTGGTTTGTATGGGCGCTTGCTGGGGCAAGGCGGCTCTGGCGTCTGAGGATGGTACATGTGCTGGCTGCTGAGTACGGGCCACCGAAAGAGACCTGTGGTAAGACAAGCGATGAAAGGAGCCGAGGACAGGCTAGCTCACGCGGACGCCACGCAGAGTATGTGTCACTATCTTCAGATGTTGGAGCCAAATTGCCTCGCCGTGTGACGTGAGATGTGGTGTTTGGTTTCGGCCTCAAGCACTGGAAGGCCTACAACAACAAATCCGAATGAAAACTGTGGTCCTAAGACACGCGGAGCAGCTGCTTATACGTGGCACCGCGGGGGTCACATAGAGATAGAGGGCTTGGCAAGGGAACTCTGTCTAGAGATAGCCCTGGCTCAGTGAGGAGCTGAGGGCCTGGCTGCGCAGATGCAGCGGAATGGTTGTTCGGCCTCGCCTCCGCTGAGGGAACAACAGTCAATGCTTCTCTGCAGTGTCGGTCCGGGTTAGTAAGAGCGAGAACGCCGGGACCTCGAGCTGCAGTTTTACCATGAAGCAACCGCGTGAGATGCATTATTGGTCAACTGGTGAGTAAGAGCGAGAAAGCCAGGGTGACGCTACTTTGGGGGAGGCTGCAAGGCACGGTTAGTAAGTGCGAGAAAGCCGGAGCTGCGGACGAACCTGGAGTAGCAGTCTTTCATACCTCACGTGTTTCACTTTGCGGCCTCGCATGCGCTGAGGAAATATGCCTCGAACAGAACATCCAGTGCTGAGTGGGGATTGCCAAACTTACGGAGGCTGATGCCACAACAAGTGCCTCAACAGCAATGCATGCGGAGGGCAAAGTTCGGCCTCGCGAGTGCTGAGGGTTGCAGCTGAGAGAGGGCCTAGCTGAGAACGCAACACCTCAAGCGAGGTAATTTTTAGTTTAGTTTCACCTTGACCAACGGCCCCTTCGGGTGGCTACGCGACGCAGCGTGCAGACGAAAATCCATGTTTCTTTGTTGTCCTGATGTACAGGTAGCTGTCTGGCACATGCAGGTAGGGAGTTTTCTGCTTGAGAGTGTCTGCACTTGTGAGTTTTGTGAACGAGAGTGACTTCACTTGCGTTTCGTCACGTCTCGTATCGTTCGTTTGTGTTTTGTTCTTGCAGAAGCTGAGCAGTGACAGTTTGGGAATGTGGTTCATGTGTTTCACACAGTTCAGAGCCCAATAGCTGAGACCGCGCTCGCTTTGGCTCAAGGAAAAAGAAAGCGAGTGCTTGCGACTCTGCTTTTCACACGTTCTTCTGGCCATCAAACGGGACTGTGGGCAGAGTGTTTAGACGTTGGATAAAGTTACAAAACGGATTATTCACTTAAACCCTCCAAGAAGATGTAGTTTGGAGTCGCAAGCATGAATGTCTTCCCACAAAGGTAACCGATGTGGCTTACGAACACAGTTTTCTCTCCAGTCTTAGTTTTATGCTTTCTGGGTTAAGTTGGCAGTGTGGATAATACTGCCAGTTTTCTTCCACCCATCCCGCTAACAAAAACCGATCGAAACTTGTCAGGTGAAGTAAAATGTAGACTTCAAGGTGGCAACACAAGCAGTTTGTGTGGCTAAGTTTTTTTTAAGTTTTTTTGCCGCAGCACAAGATCTCTTACAGAGCATGTGCCCACAGCGGTATTTTCAAGCTTCCTTTTGTTATGTAACATTCCATAAAGACTGGATTACACACCAACGTGCATTGTTTGTTCTTTCCACTCTTGGGTATCGTCTGTGGCTTTCCCAGCTTTTCATGCACGGACTTGGTCTTTCCAACCCACAGGCAGCACTGATTATTGCCTTTGCTTGCTAGTTTGAAGGTACGTGTGGTGCAAACAGCTTGGAACAATCCGATCGGACCAAGCGTGCATTACGGCTCTCTATTGCCTTGCAGATTTGGGATGCTGTTCCAAGGACTGTTCCATAATGGGTGCAATTGTTTCCAAATGTTTTTTAGTCTATAAGCCCGCAGGCTCGAGAAACATCGCTGGATGCAAGGAATGGACTTTTCAAAACATACCCCCCGAAACTCCAAAAAGAGAGCCTTGTAGGTTCTGTTGTGTGCCTTTTGGCGGTTTGTTTAAAGAGTTACAAGGAGGTTCCAAGCTGTTCCGCAAGCCCCTGTTCTAGGAAAAAGGGGTGGAAGAACGTCCACATCGCTGGAAAGGGTTTCTCAAACGTACCTTCTCCAAACCATAAAACTGGGTTTTAGGTCTAGGAAACCGAAACCCAGGGTTTTGAAGGGGTTTGAAGTTTAAGGGTGCAGAGATCTGGTTGCTTATGCTTTTAAGGGCTTGAAGGGGAAGGTTGAAGTTTAAGGGTGCAAAGATCTGGGTTGCTTGTGCTTCTGGAGTGGAGGGGGCAGGGGGTTGAAGTTTAAGGATGCAGAGATCTGGGTGCTTATGCTTCTGGAAGGCTTGGAGGGGGAGATCTGGGTTGCTTATGCTTCTGGAGGCTTGGAGGGGGGAGTTTAAGGGTGCAGAGATCTGAGATCTGGGTTGCTTATGCTTCTGGACGGCTTGGGGGGGGGGGGGGTGAAAGTTTAAGGGTCAGAGCTGGGCTTATGCTTCTGGAGGGCTTGGGGCTTTAAGGGTGCAAAGATCTGGGTTGCTTATGCTTCTGGAGGGCTTGCGGGGGGGGGAGGGTGGTTGAAGCTTGAGGGTGCAGAGATCTGGGTTGCTTATGCTTCTGGAGGGCTTGGGGGGGGGGGTTTGGGTTTAGGGTTTCGGGTTTAGGGTTTAGGGTTTTAGGGTTTAGGGTTTAGGGTTTAGGGTTTAGGGTTTATAGAAATTGTATAGGGTTTGGGTCCCAATAACGTTTCGTACGAAAGTTTCGTACGAAAGTTTCGTACGAAAGTTTCGTACGAAAGTTTCGATTTTTAAAACTGGTGGTGGAGGGGGGAGGAGGGAGGGGGGGAGGGGGAGGAGGGGGAGGGGGGGAGAGGGAGGGGGGGGGGAGGGGGGGGGAGGGGGAGGGGGGGGAGGGGGGGGAGGGGGGAGGGGGGGGAGGGGGGAGGGGGGGGCCAGAGCAAAGGGGGACGGGGCGATGGGGAGAGGGGGGAAGGGGGGGGGGGGGGAGGGGGGAGGGCGAGGTAAATTGAGCAGTTGGCCTCAGGCTTAAACTCGGCTCATCAGCTGTTTAGACAAATAACTTGAACATTCAGAATTTGACAAATAACTTGAAAATTCAGAATGATACCGCATAGGAGGGGGGGGAGGGGGGGGGGGGAGGGCGAGGTTTAAGTAAATTGAGCATTTGGCCTCAGACTTAAACTCAGCTTGTCAGCTGTTTAGACAAATAACTTGAAAATTCAGAATGATACCACATACAATTTCTATTTATTTTGTCTTGAGGGTTTAGGGTTTAGGGTTTAGGGTTTAGGGTTTAGGGTTTTAGGTTTTAGGGTTT